AAGATTGGACATTAGTATATATTTTTACATATAAATAATCATAAAATAGAAGATGCAGACAAGATGCAGATGTTTGGTGTATTAATATCATTTGGCTCTGATTTAGAGTCACTGGGTCACATCACATGGAAGCTACTCAGAAGAAATCTACAGATATCCATATAAAGAATCACTGCGTCACATCAGATGGAAGCTTTTGAAAAATGTATCGTAAAATATGACTAAACATGAACTGACAAGAAAAACTAAAACCACCATAAAGAGGTGCATCCTGTTTTAGTGCTATGATTCGGAATTGATTTGGATTCACTGGATCAGAGGAGAGATGAGGGGGTGATTACATATCTGTGTTCTGTCACTCTTCCTCTGAACCAGATCAGCTGTGAAGAAGCCTCTGATCACACACACACACACACACACACACACACACACACACACACAGTATCTCTGTAAATGCGCACACACTACCTGTTGCGGTTAGACAGCGGGTTTCCACAGTGATCAGACTGATAACTGATATATTTAAACCCCGCTACGTCACTGCAGAGGACGGAAGTCTTCATTGAAGTGTTAGAGTCCAGCGAGCAGTGCGAGCTAACAAGCTAACGCCGCTAGCACGGTACCGTAGAGGAAGCTATCGTTGCTTTTAGTGATACACCGTTATTCCCCACTCTGGCCACTGACGTTACATTAACACTTAAATGTATTTAACGGTACCTGTTTGAGAGAAAGCGTTGCCCGTGGTAACCTTGACACCGTCATCTCTTACACGGAGAACGCCGCCAGGCTCCTGTATGAGCGGATGTTGTGACGACGTCAGTAACGGTTAATCCGGTGTTTGTCTCCCTCTGGTGGAGCGGAGGATGCACTGACAGCCCGGAACGTCAGCTCATTATTAAAGGAGAATTCCAGCTCCCCACCAGAGATGTATTAAGACACTCATATACAAATAGTCTGTCTTTAACAATAATAAAACAAGTATACGTCAAACATTAAAATCCTTAAAAAGTCATCTAACCCTTCTACCTCATTAAATATTCCCACTGGAAGGGGACCCATTCCATTTACTTTTACCAGGTGGATGGTCCCAGTACTGTGCATAAATACTAGATATCCCAGGGACAGCTCCCTGGGATATTAAGTATATTACTTGAATAAAAGAATTCTATGTATTTAAATGATTGGTTTTAAAGTTGGGAATATATTGAACACACAGTTTAACCCTTTAATGGCCTGTTCAGCTGTTTGGTTGACACATTTTGAATCACTATCTTTGAACTTGGCCCCAAATCAACATTTTAAGACACAAGCTCATTTTATGGTAAATGTAGTGAAGTCAGCTGATGTAATTACAACGGATTGCTACAAAATGTAAAACTCATTATCATTCATTATTGTTCATAACACACATTTAAATATATCCCATATGCTAAAATAATTTCATATCAATGATTTTTTACTGTCTAAAAACAGCGCTTGAATGTTGAATTGTCCTTTAGTGATGCCAAGATGGATGCTATTTCAAGTTGTTAGGAAATAAAAAGAATGTGATTTGTGCTGTTCAAACAAAATCTGATCTGAGTCACTTGAGCCTGCAGTCTGAACGTTAAATCAAAATGTCTGCTGTGAAACGGTGAGCTCAAACACAGACGGAGCAACCTTGTAAACTGTTTATTGTCAGGATCATTCATGTCATGGTTTAACAGATGGATGCAATGAAGAAACGACCTCTTCAATATGACCGATGTCTGCTCACATGTAAGTCCACATTACAAAACACAGAGGTGATAATGAACATCTCAACGCACATTTCACCAACGCCTACTCCCACTCCTAAAGGACTCAGTGACGAGCTCTCCTTTAGCAGAAGTCACGCAGTGTGGGTGGAAGATGAACAGCAGATATGCGTCTTTAAACCACTAAAAATGGGTTATACTGGCGGCTTTTATCAAAACTGGAATCTGCAGTCCCTGTGCTTCAAAGTGCAGCTGAATTTCTAAAAACCCTGACAGAGCTGTGACCTCTGACCCTCCACCCCAACAGCTCATTCAGGCGTGTGGTGAGATGCAATACTGTCCTCCTCTCCAAGGCACGTTATCGAGCTCCTTTGAATGTCAGTCGTGACCACACCGACATGCTACTGTAAGGTCGTGACGTCAGGAAGGGTTCTGTTAAAACTCGGTCCAACAGCTCCACTCCGTCTGTTGTCGTGTTAACACTGAAGATAAATGATTCGTAACACTGACTACAACATCCACACAAAACATGATTTGAGGACTATAGTACAATGGGGACAGAGGTATTTACTGACTCTTCACTGAGGTGTTTCACACGCAAGGGAATCACATTTTTGTTTCTATCATTTCATCTCAGACGTGCAAGTTAAAGCAATTCTCGTTACATTACAAAAGAAACAGAATTCCCCTGATAACAAGGACAAAACAGCAAAGGTTGCTATCAAACTCTACTAAAATCTACAGTAAAAATAAGAAATTAAAGGCACATGTACAGCGGCAAGTCCGTCTTTTCGTTTCTTTTTTTGAGTCCTTCTTCTGAGTCGTGGCTGAGGGGCTAGCAGCAGGGTGGCATTGTGCAGTTGGTTGCTTCCCCTCCCCTCCCTTCCTGTGAAAGATGGCTTCTAGTTGGTCTACTGGTCGGCTGCCGTGACGAGTTCAAACCACTGTCTGAGTGCGTCGCTCAGGGTCTCCGGCAAGGCGTTGACATCTCGCAGGATGACGTAGAAGGGGAAGGGGAACTCTTCCATGTAGGAGCGGATCTCTGGCAGTTCTCCCGGCCCTTTGAATATAGGCACCTTGATGTCCAGGATGGAGTCCTGCAGCAGAGCACCACAGTTTAGTGACTCTCCGTGTCTGAGAGTTAGAAAATTAAAAACAATTCTTCTTCACTTACCCGCGAGTTGGGGTTGTCGAGCACTACGAACATGACAAACACATTTGCACTGCGTGCTGCCCGTACAGCCGCCATCACCCGCTCCTTCCCCTCTAGGAACAACCCCCTGCCATCAGACACGACGACCAGCAGCTGGGCTGTCTCTGTGGAGAGAGGTCAGAGGTCAGAGGTCAGAGGGGAACAGTGGAGAGTGATATAATATAATGCGACTAGTCATGCAGTTAAAGTAGTATATAACACATCTGTTCTACAGTGATATCACAGAGTACTGACACAGCCTGGAGTACAATTCACTGCAGCAAGACAAGTAAGCAAGTTCCCTGTAAGTCAGTGAGACAGGTACCGGGTCCAGACCTCTGATACCCCTTTTCCACCCAGGCAGTTTGAGGGCCCTTTCAGAGCCAGTGCCTGCTATCAAACTAGTTTTTCGTGTTTCCAGAGCCAAAGAACAGACCCAGGAAAAGTTGTTCTAGTGTTGCACCAACACTTTTGGTCTAGAACCAAGAACCACCTGCGTCAGGGGCCGGGGGCGCCTTGAAGCCAGCCATGTCTTATTTTAGCTGATTAGCGTAATTTCTCACAATGTTACGAACGTAACAAACGTAACATTGAGCTAGCTGGCCGGCTAGCTAGCTACGTGTTCTCACATCAATGTTACATTGAGCAACTGCCAATGCGCCTTTTGTGTTGACTGAAAGTCACATCGGCAGGATGGATATGTGACTCACTACTGGCTGAACTAACTCATAATGCCGCCTGTATGCCAGCTCCATGAAAAGGAAACGTTAGCTCCACCAGGGGTTTTATAGCTTAGACAATGACTCGGAGCACCTGGCTCTGATCCCGGGACTTCCTCGTCTCTGGTGCCCCACTAAAGGCTTGTTTGTTGGATATTGAATACAATCTGGGCCCTGACTCCATTTACTCAGTGGTACACAGGTCAAGCAGGATGGACTTTTCAAGCAGTCATACTAACAGGCAGGTACTAAAGCCTACATAGAAAGTTGGCACTGAATGTGAACTAAACAAACAATATGACAAATAAATGCTGAAACTTTTGAGTCTGTTGGATTATGTTGTAGAGAAATGTGTTTTTACGCTGCAAAGTATACCAGTTCAATATATTCCTTATATTCATATAATGTAACACTGTCCCATGATGCCAGCTTTGCTTGCAAACAGCCCAAAATCAGCAAGAGGGAACAAGTTAGACTTTCACTACCCAAGATTTCTGTTACACTGTGTCAGTAAACTGTACAGCACACCATCACTGAGCTACTCTCAGTTAAACATGCTGTGTGAAACATTACCTGAGTTTACAGACCCAGGAATCTGCTGTCGTGCTGTTAGAAACATTTTAGTCGAGGTCTCCAAAAACTGCAGGGGAGAGTTATGAAGAGAGAGTCATTTTAACATGATCAGTCACATGTTTCACCACAAGTTACCTGAGATCATTTGTACCATCAGCTGTTGGGTTTTGCAACAAACTATAGGTCATCTTCCACCCCTGCCCATGTCACAGTACATTTTTTCACTATTTTTACCCCCTTGGGGACATTAAAGACATTTCATTTCATTTCAAGTTACAAACAGATCACGATCAAACATCATTATCAAATTCAGATCAGGACACAAGAAAAAGGGAAACAAATGTTTAACATGTTTCAAATGAACAAACACACTGCATACAGAACTGTGGTGTTGATATAATGGATTGCCTTTTCTCTCTTCACTATTAATTTAAACAGAAATATAATGGAAGTCAATGTAATCTGTTTGTACAAAGAAAAACCTCACCTGTGCTATTCTGGTCTTCTTCTGCTGGAACTGACAGAGTCTGAGGATCCGAGCCCCCGACTCATCATTGAACTGCTGCTGGAAGGGGTGGAGCAGCTGCACCTGCTCGCCAAAACTGCACACAGGAGCAGGCGTTAGCTTCACATTAAATACATGACATCAAAAAGGGAAATTTCAGTGTGTTCAATTTCCCACTCGTACCGTCTGAGGTCCAGATATTTCTTACCTGGGTCCATAATTTAATCTGCACAATATGTTCTGTCTTTATGGCATCACATTGTACTTGCATATCCTTACCTGCACACAGACACCTGTCCGACCTCCAGCAGAGTGAGAGCGTTGATGATCACTGACAGGGATTCGAACGCCAGCTGCACCAGACACAGACAGACACACAGACAGACAGACAGACAGACACAGACACAGACACACAGACACACACGACACAATAGTAAGGTTATTTGTACATATTGAACTCTATTTTGTAGAGCAGCAAACAATTATTCTCTATGTAAAGATACAGTGGAGTCATGGTGTCACACTCTCTCTGCCTGTGTTACTATCGCAGCCTCTCTGTGGTTTGTTTCCTCCATGACCAAGGAGATGGTGGTGGACTTCAGAAGGAAGAAACCACATCTCCAACCTGTGTCCATCAAGGGGGTCGATGTGGAGGTGGTCAGGACTTATAAATATCTGGGGCTGTAGCTGGATGACAGGCTGGACTGGACAGCAAACATGGACACTCTCCACAGGAAAGGGCAGAGCTGTCTGAACTTCCTGAGAAGGCTGGGGTCCTTCAACATCTGTAAAAAACTGCTGCAGATGTTTTACCAGTCTGTGGTGGCCAGCGTGCTCTTTTACGCTGTGGTTTGCTGGGGAGGAAGCAGCAAGAGGAGAGACGCCGGTCGACTGGACAGACTGGTGAGGAGAGCTGGCTCAGTGGTGGACACAGAGCTGGACTCTCTGGTGACAGTGGCAGAAAGAGGGACCCTGGACAACACCCACCACCCTCTGCACAACACCTTCACCAGGCAGAGGAGTGTGTTCAGTGGCAGACTGCTGTCCCAGTCCAGCTCCACCAACAGACGCAAAAACTCTTTCGTCCCCCATCAGACTGTACAACAGCTCTCA